CCTGGGGATTTTGACCTGCTGGGGTTTAAGGTTGATCATCTGTTTACCATTGACAAGTGTTTGCCTATGGGATGCGCTATCTCTTGTAAACTTTTTGAAAAAATTTCAACATTTTTACACTGGTTGGTTTCATTTAGAACTGGGATTGACACCTTGGATCACTACTTAGATGATTTTTTATTTGCTGGGAGGGATAAGTCGAATGATTGCCAGGCCCTTATGGACTCTTTTTCAGGAATTTGTGAGGAATTAGGGATTCCCATAGCACAGGAGAAGACGGTGGGGCCAGTGACAATTTTAGTATTTTTAGGCCTGGAAATCGATACAGTAAATAGAGTCATTCGCATACCGTTGCAAAAAACACATGAACTGTACGGTTTACTTTCTGTTTACTCTAGGGCTAAAAAGATTACCCTAAAGGATTTAGAATCTGTAGTGGGAAGCCTATGTTTTTTCTGTAGGGCGTTAAAACCTGGTCGTGCTTATCTCCGTAGATTGTATGATGCTATGGCTAAGGCTTCAGCATCCTGGCATCATATTAGGGTAACTGCAGACATGCGGGACGACATGCTTATGTGGATGGAATTTCTCGACACGTTCGATGGGGAGGCATATTTACCTGAATCAACATGGGTGGATGCTGATACTATTCAGCTGTTTACAGACAGTGCAGGTTCATCAGATTTGGGGTGTGGGGCCTTTTTTGGTGGAAGATGGGCATTTTTTGGGTGGCCGGCACTTTGGGGAGGACAGCCAATCATTAGGGACATATCATTCCTAGAATTTGTACCAATTATTTTGGCACTGATGTTGTGGGGCCCGATATTGCGGGGTAAACAGGTGAGATTTAGAGTGGACAACAGCGGGCTGGTATCGGTAGTAAATACACAGACATCAAAGTCCAAACGTCTGATGGTTCTAGTGAGAATGTTTGTCCATTTAACTATGAAGTATAACATTAGCTTTAGAGCACAACATTTACCTGGTGTGTTGAATGTGGTGGCTGATTCTATTTCTCGCAAACAGTGGCACAGATTCAGAGAGCTGGCTCCCGAGGCACACGAGACACCAGAAGAGATCCCAGAGCGGTTTCAAAGATTGATTTCAGAAATGAATCTCAAAGACTAGTGAATGCTTCCATGGCTAGCAATACACATACTGCTTACAACATTGGAATCAGTTGTTTTGAACAATTTAGGAGTTTCCATAAGCTCGGAAAGATGTGGCCTCCCACAGCTATCCCAATTCATAGCTTATTTATCATTGGAGGGGAAGTCTCCAGCTACAGCTAAATCATATGTATCCGCTATAGGTTTCAATTGTAAAATAATGGGCTTTAGAGATAGCACACAAAGTTTCTTACTTAAGAAAACGTTGGAAGGCATGAAACGCTTAAAACACCGTGCTGACAGGCGTCTTCCGATAACATCACAGTTGTTACTGCAGATAATTCAGGCACTTCCTAGCATTTGTTCGAATTCATTTGAGGTTAAGTTGTTCAAACTCGCCTATAACATTGCATTTTGTGGGTTTTTGCGGGTAGGGGAGATAACCGTGGCTAAAGGTCGTATGCCTCACTTGGTACTACAACTCAGTGATGTTTCGATTAGTGTAAATGGGGAGACCATTTCATTGACGATTAAGTTTTCAAAAACTGATCAGGTTGGTAAGGGGACAACATTGCTAATACAGAAGGGGTCAGGTGCATTATGTCCAGTTCAAAGCCTCTGTGACTTTCTGTCAGTGAGGCCAAGTCAACAGGGTCCTTTGTGATGCCATTTTGGAGGGAGCCCTATGACGAGGTACCAGTTTTAAGCAGTTTTATGCAAGACATTAATTTTTTTGGGGCAGGGGTCTGAAAGGTACACTTCCCACTCGTTTCGTATTGGGGCGGCTTCGGCAGCTTCTGCTGCTGGCTATTCAAACTCTTACATACAGTCAGCTGGTAGATGGAGTTCGGAAGCGTTTAAGACGTACATCCGTCCCATTGATCATATTAAAACGTAATGTCTAGGTTTACCGTGTACTAGAGCGAGGGGAGGTAAGTAGGGGGCATGTTTACTAATTTCAAGGAATTATTTTATATTACATAATCTTATTATTCCAATGTTATATTGGAAACATGTATATTGCATTGGGCAACTACTCATTTGAGTGCTAAGCCTTTCAGTTTGGTTCGTCGGTTCGTCCCTCGTACGGAATGGGCAATTGGCGGCGTACACAAGACCGGGCGGACCAGATCTCACCTTAGATCGGAACCTCAGCGTTAACATCTGGTGGCAGGGATATGGGGGTTTGACGCTACAGAAACTGCAGGCGAAACTAAAGGTGCTGTCAAAAGTGGGCGATACCCCCTCCATTTTACTTGTCCATTGTGGAGGAAATGATCTGGGCATGATCAGTATTGGGAATCTGTGCAGGTGTGCAAAAGAAACGTTAAAATGGGTACGGGAGCAGTTCCCATGTAGCATTATTGTATGGTCCCAGATTTTGCCCCGCCTTTGCTATAGGTACTCCGCGGACACTGGCGCTATGGAAAGGTGTAGGCTAAAACTAAAACAAAATACCTGTCACTTTTTAAGGACGATGTACATCTGTCAGAAACAGGAAATAGTATTTTTCTTAACAGGTTGCAAGGCGGTTTGGAATGGGTCCTTTTAAAAAGAGGGAAAGTGTTTCCACCGGACCATTAAAATTTGTACAGTACGTGGTACGTGACCACATATTGATGAATTGAATATAGACAAAGTTAGGTATTTAAATGTGGCCCGGCTTGTAGTATAAAGAGGTGGCAGTGATCCCATCATGACACAGGTTTTCATGTTGGGATCAATTGGCGTCGCGCGGCATAACCGTTCAGTTTACCTTAATAGTTGATATGCGTTTTACCGTTGTGATACCAGGGTTTAATGCAATATTAATTCATATACGTAATTGGTGAATTCAAAACAATGACTCGGTGAACGTGTCATGTGACTTTGAATAATTGGTGTTTATGGAGTGATGTGCCTCCATACTTGTGTTGTGTTGAGACTAGTGGTGTACTAGCTCAAAAATTGGTGTTTTACTTGTGTGTATAGAATAATATAAGATTGATGGGTCTGCCCGTGGCGACCCACAATTACATATATAGATTAAAATAAGTATTTCAACTACAGCCGAGGCCACAAATATGCCAGAACCAATATTAAAATATTAAGGAAATCTATATTTGGTGTATGTTATTTTTTTCTACAATAATTAAGATAATACATTGCATGTTTCAATTTTGTCTCCTTTATTTTCAAATAAATTTAAATAAGATCAAACATATAAACATATAATCGGCAAAATGTAGGTCTAGGAAATAACAATAAGCTTTTTACATTTTTTCCACTCATTCTGAAAGTTAATGAGATATATTTCGTCTTTACTATTTGCAATATATTTTTGCAATATATTTTTGAATACTGAAATGTTCTTTAAATGAACTTTTAATTCCTTGTATAGATAAAGGCACTTTAAGATATCTTGCCTTGTATATATACTGTTTTATTATTAAAATAATGCTATTGTCACTTTTATTAAGTCCATTATAGTTATAAAAACCAAAAATAAATGTTTGTTTATTATAATCAAATGGAATAATCTATGCATCTAATAAGATCTCAAAATTTTGTAAGATCTTGCACTTTGTCACATTCCCATAATACATACTCTATTGTCTCTATTTCTAGTTTACACAGTTCACAGTAAGGGCTATCTACTATTCCTGCCTTAAACAAATATGAATTAGTTGTCAAAATGTGCTGATTAATTCTGTACTGGAACCACTATAATTTGGTATTTTTCGTAATTTTAAATGGCATTTTATATATTTTTTTTCCAAACTTCATCATCAAATTGAAATATATCATCCCATTTTTTTACCTGTTGAAATAGTATCAATTTTATAAAATAAGCTATAAAAATCTCTTATCCCTTTTTTATTTTTCAAAAACATTTCTATATTAATTGGTATAAATGAATAGTTAACCTCTAAATTTGACCTATCTTCTTGTATTATATACTCTCTTATGGCGGTAATTAGACCCTGGTATCGTAAAAAGTTTGTGTTGATATCATAAATCTGTTTGAGTTCTTGAAACGTGTAAAAAGCATAGGTATTTCTGTCTCTGATTAGATCATCAATTTCAATTATTCCTTTATTGTACCATTCCCTGTAAAATATACTTCTATTTTCTATTGAAATATTTTTGTTCTATCAGATGTGGATTTTGAACTTACTGCTAGGGGACTTTTTTTCATTAGGGATTCTCCATGCCCTAAATACGGCAATCCAAAATACATTTTCTTTTTTCTTTTGACATTTTGAAATATAATCAGTTCCACAATTTGCCAGAATGTTTTTATCACAATATAATTTTAAAATCACTAGCCATTTACCAGAATTCATGTTTATATTATACAGTGTTTTATATAAAACAATAATATGACTTATTTACATAGACATATTTAAAGAGTCAAAACTAAATAGAGTGTTTAAAAATAGAATAGCACAGACATTTATCCAACAAAGCAAAAATGTTTCTCTGTTTATCATGATAATTTTATGCCTGGTCGCTATCTATGTAACAATTATGGCTATATTTGGCTATAAAACGCTCGCTATATTATTCCGCTATATTAATAGGTATCTTTAGTCATCTATCAATGGGCAGGGGATGTGGTCATTGATATATAAAATGACTGGGTTACAAATTATTATTTCAAATTTATGCAAATACATATTATTAATTATGTCGCGTGGAACTCTTCCCCGTCGCGGACGCCTGGTATTTTCCGTCTTTGCGTATTGCAGAGTTATCTTCTCTTGGGAGCAGGTATTGATTGTTACGTCACTTGTTTGTGAGAGTAACGTCATCAATTTTTGGGAAAACGACGTAATTTTCTCACACAGCCCAATGACGTAACAATCAATACGGGCTCACAAGAGAAAATAACTCTGCAATACGCAAAGACGGAATATCTGAAACAAAACACAAATGCTTGACAAAATGTATTTGTAGATTAGTATTTTTTTTACCTTTAATTTGGTGTCACGTACAGTGTAGTATGTCCCATTCTGAGAGGCAATAAACAGGGGTCTGAATTCCTCAAAGAACGAAACAAAAACATTAGTTCTAACATGTGAAAGGGCGAACATGGCAAATATTGCTTTTAGAATGTGGCACCGTTGACGGCGGTGAGATGAACATGCGGTTCGTTTTACGGTCTACGCTGACGACAGCCCCTCTTGCTTTGATAACTTTTGTGCCTGGACCTTGCGGATAAACACGCAAGTCAAAATCATAGGCTGGACTTGTCACCACAATATTTGGTCCGCAAGCAGTAACGCCACGTGGGTTGTGATTGTCGCATTCTTGGGTATTGATCAACTTCAATGAGGTACCTAGGCTGCTATCAACGGCGAGAGTGAAAACCCTGTTTTCGTCGTCGTCTGTTACATACAAAATGTCACCATTGTCGTCAAATGCGAGATACCACATTCCACCTGCTGTCGAAACAGCATTTTTGTCCTTGAACCATGTCCCCAATATCTGTCCCTCTGTTCGATGAATAACGTGCACTGAACTATCATGTCGGCTCCTGCAGGTGAAAGCCAATAGTTTTCCTCGGATATCGATACCATAGCAACGGCCTGGTGTTTTTATGTTTCCTTCCGTGCCGCGGATTTGTCCGTCCTTCACTTTGAAGAATTGTACAAGGTTGTCGTCGGGAAAACTGACAGCAATGATATCACTACCAGTGGAACAGACATCCCAAGGAGCGGAGCTGAAACCCATTTCGGACAATAGATTGAAGTGATGGTCAAAGAATTTAATCTTGCCATTGCTTTGATCAGTAATAGCAAGATTTCCATCCGGTAAAAATGTACCCCCGGTTATCAAACAATCATCTTTATCACGACTTGTACGGGCGTTGAATTTCCCTCTCGGCATGAATTGTTTGGCATTTGGGTTCAAACTTGTTCGGGAGACTCCTATGTCCGCCGTGGTTGTAATTGCACACCCACCTGAACGCAAACACAGATTTCCTTTTCCTGACATATCACCAGTGAAATTATCTTTCGCTGAAAGAGTTTCGTTGGCACGGGTGATGACTTTAATTTCGCCAATGGTTGTGAGGGACTTTTTCAAAGACTCGTTACCCTGAAACTTGAACAGAAAGTAAGTTTTGTTAGAATCCGCAGAATTAATAACGCCTTTTGCATCGCGGAGAACACTGGCAATACTTGCTCTTTCATCCAATATCCGCCGAGCGCTTTGATCGACACCAACTAACTCAGTTTTAGCGTTTTTGAGGTTATACATGATGTGCTCTCCGTGTCGAATATCTTGGTCCAGTTGACTGATTCCAGTTGCTGCAGCAGTTTGTACTTGTTCAGTTACGTTAGATTCCCATCGGTCTAACTCGTCGTTAATTTCTTTCCGCCAGGTCCGCACACTTGTCTCGATACCAGACAGATGTGATTGGACCAGATGTTGCCTTTTCCTCTTTTTATCCACCCAATTGTCAAGCATATGAAGGTTTTCGTCTATTTCAGATATTTTCTCTCGTGTTTTGTCAGCTGCGGCTTCAATTGTGTCGACCTCCTTACACTGTCTGTGTTCCTTTACCATACACAGGGAACAGATCGTACGTTCGTGGTCAGTACAGAAGAATTCCATTTCCTTCCCTTTGTGTAGAGAACAGATGCTATCAGTGTTCTCAATTTTGAAATTGTCCTGCAGGGTCCTAATTGTGTGGTTGGATGGATAAGTGTTTGCCCACTTGTCAAACGCTACATCTTTCGGACCGTAGACCTTCCTTCGACATGATGGACAATGGAAATATTTCTTTACGTCCGGTTCCATAGATTTTACAATTAGCTGCTGTAAACATTCCTTACAAAATGTATGGAGACACGGCAGAGCCTTTGGTTCCTCGAAGTCTTCATAGCATATTGGGCAGGAGATAATATCTCGGAGATCTGAGGATGGCATTTCCATGGGGTCACAAGGCGAATCACGTTCGATGATCTGCATGAAAGAGACAAGACGTTAGGTTCTTATTTATTTTTAATTTTCAGTGTCTTCAAGGAACTTAACCGACATCACTATTAACATTTTCGTTGTATGACCAATAAAGTCTACAAACTCAATATTTTGTTTTAAAAGCATAACACAGAGAACTACTACGTTTTTCACTCTGGATCTATTCAGCTCTTGTCGTCATACTGAGAAATCAGGGCCAACTCAGATTGTGAATCAGACTTCATCCAGGGAGAACACCTATTGTGTTGTAGTTGCTGGTTTGATTTTTATATGAATATCGATCAGGAACAGGAAATATAAGGAAAAACCAGAAGAAGAAAAAACAACACCAGTGACCCCTTCTTAAACCCGGAGGCGGAGCAAGGTGCGCTGGATGAGAGAGCGTTCCTTGAACCTGATGTGGTCCCTGTTATGTTTATGTTCTTGTATGTAAAGGTCTTATATATACATATAGATCTAACCTTTGATATACAAGATTCTTCTCAAAATAGTTAAAGGCATAAACTTTGACAGGAAAGATGCTTTAACAAATACAAGCTTTCAGATGATTACAAAGAAATAATTAACATTTTTTAAAGACATGGTGTAACTGCGCAGTTTACATGTATAAATAGATTGTTGTAGAATTCTCCCATCTTTTATAACATGATGACATAATTTGTGCCAGATGTACTTCGTGCGTGTAAAAAACACACATTGACTGGCTTTCTGATGATATAGAGATCAAGGAATGGAGGAATCTTTTAGATAAACATGCATTTTTATTTACGAACATAGGATGAACTATGTAACGACTAATCTTTGATAATATGAAATACTCAATGAATTGGGTATTGGCAAACTCTATATGTAACTAGACACACGAGCTATTTGACATAAGAGTTCGCGATGTTGACGTTAGACTATAATTCACGGAATACATGTATGTCTAGTTCACTATATTCAAAGGCAGAAACAAAACTTGATCGTAAATAAATTCAGGACTTTTATTGAATAATTGCTGGAAGTATGATGTTAGTGACAACCATTAAATAATTAAGTTAGTTGGTGAAAGACGACGCCTTAACCACCAACATGGAAAGTATCATTTTTTATCGTATTTCTAAAGATTTTGTCGTTGTGTATTAACGATGTGGTGAAGTTTGTCAATGTGGTCGATATGGACTTGAGTATCGACGATGCGGTATAATTTGCTTTCCTGTGTTAAGTATTTTATTTGAAATAACAACCCGATCATCGCGTAGGACAACTTAACAATGAGCCCAAATTCAATTAAGAATGCTGTATTTTAGAGAATTGTCATGTTTGACGATAAAATGACTAAACACAAACTTCGGTGCCCACGTTAAGCACAGACACATGCATTCGTCAACACAATGGCAGTATTAACATAAGTAGAATTACCACATACGTTTAACCAGGATACTGATTGACAACAGTAAGACTGTAAAAAAACACATATCTAGCCATTTACACACATGGATGTCGAAAACAATCCTAAATTATACGATAAACAGGCGATAAAGACAACCTCAGTTCCACGAACTTTAGGAATTTACTTAAGTTAATCATTGCTCGAGTTTAGAAAGCAAATTAAGGAAACTTTCAAATTTCAACTGAAAAAGTTAAGGAAGTCTCTTTAGTTAATAAAAATTCGGTTAGGAAATTTGTATCTGATTCTTGTAACTCATAAAAGTAAAAAGACAGAAACTGATATATTTTCGTATACACTGTAGTATACAATAATTCAGGATATGAAACATTTAAATAAATCTTAACATTACCTTTCCGCCGTAAATAAATTTCATGCTATACTCCTGGTGATCAGGTATATGAAACATCCCACATATTGCGTATATGTTATATATAGTGCGCGTTTGTGAGCGTGTGTGTGTATGTGTTTAAACACACGGCGTGATTCACGTTAGTAGGATAAAAATAGATACATGTTACCTAAGGTCTATGTTAAGTCTAGCATACTTTCCGGAAAAACCTAAAAGATTTGTATGGATGCAATATGGCATAATTAAATGGCAATTTTACAGACACTAGTAAAGTACCATGATATTATTGTAAATACACAAACTCGTCCTATTCACTGTGAATATATACCAATTCCATTCTGATAGTATAGTTACTGATACAACAGTTTCAGAACAAGAATTGTCAAGTTGATGAGATTACAAACAAATTCTTCGAGAAAAGTTTTTCGAAATAATCGATTTAAAACACACTGCGATAATTTAAACTGTTTTTGGAGCAAACACGACTACGATGTAAATTATTCGAGATAAACAATACAGTCAATACAAATGTAATGGCAGTTCATGATAATTACAATTTACATCAATACATTCCAAACAACCTCCTCTTCCTGAATCAAAAACAAACCATACAATGCACTATTTTACAAATGACTCATTGGTCCATATCTGTTTTTAAGATATTGGTATTTTCCCTGAAGTCAGAAGGAAAACATTTGTGCCAGCCACTACAAATAGAGCGAATTATTTGCTATCATGATACAACTTCAGTTAATCAAATAACATACAATGCGTTAGTGATTAACTCAACAAAGAAGACATTATTAATGTTGTTAAATACTCCTTCCAACGGTGTAACCGACTTATGAAATCATGCCTATTTTTAGATAAAGGGATTCCCAGCGTAGCATTACTATCATGAGTGTCGGTGTTACGTGTGTCTAAATGATTAGACATACGATTAGTGCTGTTGGAGACAAAATCTTTTTCTTATACAATACNTACGGCATTGTGTTTACGTTTTTATTATAACATGATCAATGGAAATTAACACAGAAAATGGCTGTTAGTGGCATTAATGATCGATAAAAGGATGTAGAAGGAAATAAGATAAATGAAATAATACATGAATAAAACATAAATTAAAGGCACCCACGATTGGATTTTTTGTTTGCTGTCAGGTAGACTATAATTCAGTTATCATGCTCAATCATACCCACTAACTCGATAAGGGACAGGGATAAACTATTAACAAAACTATTCCTCAACAACAATGGTGACCACGTACAAGACTGTAGGTACAAAAAAGTAAAAAAATATACCACAAAACGGGTACGACCAGGTAAGACCATGTTATTATTTTGTAATAGTTGTGTGTGTATGTTATACAGATGAGCTGTAAAGCGCAATGTAATAAAATAATTTGAATTATAATTCGACCTAACAGGTACGACCAGGTAAGACCAAACAGGTGCGACCAAACAGGTGCGACCAGATAAGTCATATTAAAGGAAAGACTGTACTTAGTTGATTGGAAATAATAAAGGTGAAATGTCAATTTATCTGATTACAACACTTTTGTTTGGTACATCCTGTTGGCTAGTCCGAGTAGGACGTTCGATGACTGAACGCGTCCTACAGTACAGTGACTACAGTTAACTGGGCCAACAACTGTACATCAAAATAAACACTATATTCCCAGTCGTTCTTAATACCTTTTTCAAATTTGTTATCTGGAGGAGAAGAAATGTTAAAAACTCACCCCAGCCTTTCACCGTATGTCCAGAATAACCCATTTCTTGTTTATTTATAGATAGTGGATTTTCCAAATCCAACACTGTTGGGCTCGTTAGCTGTCTCTATTTTTAGATTTGAATGCTATCACGAGTGCATAAACGGATCTGACAAAGACCTTACCGACGCTACCTATTTAAAGAAACCAATCGTATAAAATAATCAGCTGATCTTGACACTGATACAAACGTATGTTAACAACCTAATACCATAGGTACGTGCTTGACACACACAAGGAATGATGTGTATTCAATTTATACTACTTATGAAGGGTAGACGAGTAGGTTTACTAATTCAAAAATATAATAGATAAATGAAAGGAATTGTTTTACGCTTCTTATACTAGAACTACTAAAGTACATCAATCCATTTTTTTTTATAAATGACATGAAAAGTTGTTGCCTAATTCCGCGTTCCAATTTGCAATTTGAGTTGACTTCCAGAGATATACATATACTATTAATAGGGTGTATCTCCGAGTGCCAACATTTTTAATTGGATTGTCCAGGACTGTTGGACAACTTGTTTTGATGTGAATTATAGTCTTTTTCTTAAATAATGTCTGAGATCCAACAGGTAAATCTACCTGTTAACTTACATGTGATAACTTTAAACTTTCAACTTTATTTCTCTTTACAAAATTATAAATGTACAGAGAAAACATATATACAACAGTATACAATATCAAATGTAATATATATATAGAACAAATCATGATACTTTTTTTTAAACAAAAGTTTGATAAATTTGCATAAATTTCTTAAAATCTTAACATTGTTGGTACTCATTAGTTCTGAGAACTAAACAATATTTGGCATTACACTGAACGGTCACCTGAGGCATTAGTATTTGTATAAATATAACTTCCTTTCTGTAGACAGAAAGGGACAGTCTACAGAAAGGGACATTTAAACAAGTAGTGAAATTCAATGTCTTGGTTATCGCAATATGTGCATTTTCTGTTTTGGTAATCAACATTTACACAATACAATTCGTTCCTTTTTAATCAACAATTCTAGATATTTTTCAAAATTACAATGCTATCTATATGTTCTGTTCTGTAACACACAGACTTAGAGGAATTAAAAAAAATCATAAGTCCACTTTTGTAAAAACTAGTCATTTAATATTTGCTGTGTAATGAGTTTTACACATAGCGGGTTACTATGTTCCAAAAGCTTGAAATTCCATATATTTATTAATCCACATTCATTAAAAATACTTTGTATAATTTCAAGCAGGCAAATCATTTATTTTCATTATTATTAACATGATACAACATATTATACAAAACAATGTTCAATCTACTCTCTTTAGACTGTAGCATTCTTAACAAATAACTAAGCATTCTAGTTTTTATTTCAATGAAAAGGGGACATGTGCCGAGATCACCATAAACCATACAATTTGGTGTACTTTTTTCAAACC